GAAAAGTAAATTTTTAAATGATCCCTTCAAATTAGACAAACATTTACAGAACTCTAAGGAATAACTGAATTTACACTTTATCTCATGACCAACCTCCTGGTACTGGAAGCTTCATAATCAGTCATCAGCTGTATTGACCAGGTAAAAAAGAGACAAAATGGGTTGTGCCAGCAGCATTCCCCAAGATTACCCGCTAGGGTGGCTCCTTAACAATTGATTGACCTTTAAGGGCAATGATCAAAAGAAAAAAAAATCATCCTTTTCTGTTGTAATGTCACCAGACCTCAATACAATCTCAGGGACAGGGAAGTCTCGCCTGTAAATGGAACACTGAATTATGACACTATTCTCCAATTAGATTTGTTTTTGCAAAAATGAAGACAAATGGAGTGAAAACCCTTATATTCAGATATTTATGGCCCTTTACCAAGATAAGGATTTAAGGAAGTCTTCTAGGATATTCCTTAATTGTCACAATGTCTTATGAGTTAAAGCTCACCTTCCTCACAGCCCCTGCAAGAAGCTGGCTTCTGTCTCTCATAGATAAAACAGAATCCATCCAGAGGGTGGAACAGCCTGCTTCCCAGCTCACTTCACTGCCTTCACTCAAAGTACAGCTGCTCCATATAACCCCTCCTCCACTACAGAACTGCTAGCGCTCACCCTAACTTGTAGCCCTGTCACTACCAGGAGGGGAACTCAAAATCATCCAAACCCTAGCATGTTGTCTCTGAGGGAAGTAGCTAACAGGAAGCCTGGTAAAGAAACTATTTGGATACATGTTCCCTTTTTTATGTCTGATCTGGCCCCTTGCAAACAAAAACTCGGTTGGTTTTCCAAAGATACTAGCAAATTCACACAGGGGTTTAATCACACTGATTTACTGAAACAGGTAGAATAAAATGTTCCCCAAAATTGCACCGAGTCAAGCCCTACCAGAACAAATTGCTCTATCAAGTTAAACGCTGCCAGAATTATGGCAGTTATCAACTGGTAGTTCTAAAACAGTGGTCTAGGAACTACCCTGACTTCTTTTAAATATTTTTTATAAGCATTATTTTTTATTATTATTAATCCACACTTGAGGATATTTTTCCATTGATTTGTAGAGAGAGTGGAAAGGAGAGGGAGAGACAGAGAGAAACATTGATGTGAGAGATACCCCGATTGGTTGCCTCCTGTACGCACCCGGACCAGGGCCAGGGAGCCTCCAAGCAAGCTACATGCCCTTGACTGGAATCCACTGAGCCAAACCGACTAGGGCTAAATTTTTTTTTTTTTAAATCCAAAGTCAAGCCATCAATCACAGCTCATTAATGACCTTAAAAGCTTTGAGAGTTTCAGGAACTAGCTGGGAAAGTCCCTTCCTGCATCTCATAATAAGTGCTGCATAATCCCAGAACGATTCGAGTTGCTGAGTATACTGGGACAGCCGTATTCCAAACAAGTTTAGAGCCAGCCAACCGACACCCTGATTTAAACCCCACCTTTGGGGCATAGATCCTGAGGCCCTATCTCAGTGCTCTCACCCTCTGAAGAACCTCAATAAATCTGCCTTTGCTTTTATCAGTGTCCCTGGTCTAAATTCTTTTATATCAGGAGACAAGAACCCAAACTCATCGGTAACATTATGAACTAATGGAGTGATTTACAGACTGTTCTCTTCCACTGCTGCACTGTAAATGAAAAGCAGTCATAATAGAAGATGCTAGGGCTTATTCTGATAAATTTGCCAGTCATCATGCTAAATCAACATTGCATATACAGACTGGGGGAGATGCACACACAGATCAGGACCCTAATTAAGTCTATCAAACTGGGACAGATGAAAAACCAGAGGACAAGGACCGCTGGACCTATATACTAGTAGTTACTTATCTCATCTCATAGAAGGGATGACAAAATATACTATTAAGCCTGTTAATTATGACAAAATAAAAGAGATTACTTTATTTTTTATTTATTTTTTATTTTTTTTTAAATTTATTGCTTAAAGTATTACAAAGGGTATTACATATGTGTCCATTTTATCCCCCCGCCCTAGACAGTCCCCCAGCCTCCCCTATCCCCCAGTGTCTTATGTCCATTGGTTATGCTTATATGCATGCATACAAGTCCTTTAGTTGATCTCTTACCCCCCTACCTCCTGCCCCCCAACCCTCCCTGGCCTTCCCGCTGCAGTTTGACAATCTGTTTGAGGCAGCTCTGCCTCTGTATCTATTATTGTTCAAAAGTTTATAATGGTCTCTATTATCCATGAATGAGTGAGATCATGTGGTATTTTTCCTTCATTGACTGGAAAAGAGATTACTTTAAAAAGAAAAGATTGAACTCCACCCTTTTCCCGGTATGATTAACAAAAGCATTAGGAAAGTACACAAAATCCACCCTGAGTCTGTTAAGGGCCCAGCACTTCAGGAAATGCCTTTTATCCAGGAGGCAAGCCCAGTCAGCCTGAGAAAGTTACATAAACTAGCCTTGGGACTGCAGATCTGCACTGAGCAACGGATAGAGATAGCTTTCAGTGTTTTTAGCAACCAAGACAGGGAAGAGGAAGAGCAAAAAAGCCACCAGATGGAAACAAAAGGCATAATTACTTGATAGCCGCAGCTTTAAATCCTTTGCTCGTCCTGTAGACAAGAAGGACACCTAAAGGAGTGCCTACAACTAACTCAGGACCGACTACCTCCAGGACCATGCCCTATCTGCACCAGGAAAGGCCTTTGGAAAAGTGAGTGTCCTAGGCTTCTAAGGGAGCTTAGTGCCTCAAACCAATGATGTTTAAAACACCTGAGAACTGATGGTGCCTGAGGCCTCCTACTGCCCCCACCAACCATCTGAAACCATCACACCAGAGGAGTCTCCTGTGACTGATGTGACAGGTAAGCCCATTCATTTGTATTAGACACAGGGACTGCTTACTCTGCTGACTCACTCACCAGGGCCTCTTTCTTCCAAAACCCATTGGATCACTGGGGTGAATGGGCATCCATTTCATTCAACCCCTCGGCTGCTGCCTTGGGAATCTCACTTGTAGTCATACTTTTCTTGCAGTTCCAGGGTGCTCGATTCTCTTATTAGTTAGGGAGGGACAGCTTGTCTAGTCTAGAAATGACCATAGACGATAATAAACTCTCATTGTTACTCCTGATGGCCAACCTAACTTCTCACCCTGAACCAAAAATTAATAATATTCTAGAACAAGCTTATCAAACTCAAAGGCTAACACGGGCCAAATAAACAAGGTTTAAGTTTACGTGAGCCGCAAAAAAACAAAAGCTTCAATTTTCATAGAAACGTAGGTTTATTTCAATAGAGACATGCTGAATACAAAGGGCTAAAATAAACAAGTAATCGTCAACATAAAATAATAGAACATTTTAATAAAAATTAATATTTTTTCTTGAGCATCAACTTACCAGACACCGAATAACTGCACAAATGAATAAGCTTAACTCAAATAAGCCTATTTTCCTTGTTTTCCGAAAGCGAAATATTTCCTGTTGCCCACACCAAACAAGTCAGTACAAGACTGATGTGGCAATCGGCTGCTAAGATATTTGCCGCTAGTATTAGTGGAGAGAAATGGTGCGCCTGCGTGTAAGCCACGTAAGGAAAATGAATGCAACACGATTATAGTAATCAGTCATTAGCAAACATTGTAGTTCGTTATTAATAATTATGTATAACAGGATATTGTAAAAATGAAGTTACGAAATTTTTATTAAAACGTTTCTTACAGACCATTATATTGGTCGGGCTGCAAAAATATTCATTGTGGGCCATGAGTTTGACATGCTTGTTCTAGAATCTGTCCTCTTCTAAGTCAATCCTGAGGTATGGAAAACTGGAATACCGGGCAGGGCAATAGGAGCAAAACCAGGGGCACCCTACCCTAAAAAAAGACAGCACCCTTTAAGACCTAAGGCCATAAAAGGGATCGACCCTCTCATTAAATATACACTGAGTGGCCAGATTATTATGACCACCGCATCAGTACAATGAAGTGAATTAGTTATGCAAATAATAATAATAATAATAATAATAATAAAACCTTGAGGGTATTTGCTTAGGAAGTTTTCAATATTCAGTATTTTTGGAAGTGTCAATGAAGTACTGATGGGGTGGTCATAATAATCTGGCCACTCAGTGTATATATAAAGCATGGGCTTCTCAGGCCCTGCCAGTCCCCAAGCAATACCCCTCTTCTCCTAGTACAAAAGCCAAATGGCAAATACCAGTTTGTGAAAGACCTAAGGGCTGTAAATAAGATTGTAATGCCGGTACATCCTATAGTTCCGAACCCATACACTATCTTAAATCCCAGGAGAAGCCAAATATTTTACTGTATTGAATTTAAAGGATGCCTTTTTCTGCATCCCCCTTCATCCTGATTCCCAGTACTTGTTCACATTTGAATGGCCTAACCCCCAAACTAGGGAGACCTGCCAATATTCATGGACTGTACTCCCTCAGGGCTTTAGGGACAGTCCCCATTTGTTTGGAAATTCTTAAGCCAAGAAATTAAGAGAACCCCAGTTGACCAACAGGACCCTCCCACAATATGGTGATGATACTAATTTCTAGTACTAACGCAGAAAACTCAGATAAAAATTCCATCCTGGTATTTACTTCCTCGTAAATAGAGGATATAAAGTATCTCCCCAAAAGGCCCAAATAACCTTCCACGGGTCCCATATCTGGGGTACCTGCTTACCTCAGAAGCCCAGACTGTCACCTCAAAGGAAACAAGCCATACTGGCTCTCAGCATCCCAAAAAGTAGCCAACAGCTTGGAGAATTTTTAGGAATCGCTGGCTTCTGCCACCTGTGGATCCCAGGTTTGGGGCTCAGTGCTAACCCTCTATATAAGGCTTTAAAAGAAGACGACAAAGGGCCAGTAGACTGGACCCCTGAAGGCCAACGTGCCCTTGAGAAATTAAAAGTGAAATTGAGCAGTGGATCTGTTTAGTCATGCCAAATTAAGAAAAACAGATTACTGTGCTCACTTCCGCAGCACATATACTAAAATTCAAACGATACAGAGATTAGGATGGCCCTTGCGCAAGGATGACGCGCAAATTTGTGAAGCATTTTATATTTAAAACAAAAAGGAAAGAAAAATGGGTTACTTTGCATATAGCGGAAAGACAGGAAATAACATGTGGAGTCCCCACCCAAAATTTCAATTGGACTCCTAGCTTACTTTTCAAAACGCTGGATGTTGCTATAGTAGCCAGCTGGCCTCATTGGTAACCAGCTGTAGCTGCCACTGCTCTCCTGGTAGGAGAGGTCGATAAACTTACCTAGGGCAGGCACTGAAAGCCCCCCATCAAGTAAATAAAGGGTTATCAATGGCTCCCGGGAGGAAGGCTTAAATAAATAGCAGGCTCTCCTTGACTCTCCTGAATTAACCCTAAAGCCTTGCCAAACTCTCAATCCTACTACCCTCCTAGTAATAGGAGGCTAGCCCACCAGGTCACACACCAATGCATAGAAACTATTGAACAAGTCCAGCAGGCCTGACCTAAAAGATGAACCTTTACCTAAATCTGAAGCAGAATAGTTTCCGTATGGCAATCATTTTACACAAAATGGGGTCAAAAAGGCAGGTATGCCATTGTCAGTCTTCAAGAAACAGTAAAAGCAAAAGCCTGCCCCCTACGACTTCGGCCCAAAAAGCTGAACTCACAGCACTCACTAAGGCAGTGGCCCTTTAAATACAGTTCCTCATGGCCCTTTAAATACAGTTCCTCATGTTGTGACCCAACCATAAAATTATTTTCGTTGCTACTTCATAACTGTAATTTTGCTACTGTTATGAATCGTAATGTAAATATCTGATATGCAGGATGGTCTTAGGCGACCGCCAAAGGGGTTCGTGACCCACAGGTTGAGAACCACTGCACTAAGGCCTTACAACTAGGGGAAAACATCTGAGTTAATATCTACACTGACTCAAAGTATGGGTTTCTCATATTACATGCCCATGCTGCTATTTGGAAAGAAAGAGCACCTTGAACAGCTAAAAATTCCACCATAAATCATCATATAGGACAGTGATGGCAAACCTATGACACACGTGTCAGAGGTGACACGCGAACTCATTTTTTTGGTTGATTTTTCTTTGTTAAATGACATTTAAATATATCAAATAAATATCAAAAAATAAGTCTTTGTTTTACTATGGTTGCAAATATCAAAAAATTTCTAGCTCTGACCGGTTTGGCTCAGTGGATAGAGCGTCGGCCTGCGGACTCAAGGGTCCCAGGTTCAATTCCCCTCAAGGGCATGTGCCTTGGTTGCGGGCACATCCCCAGTGGGGGGTGTGAGGGAGGCAGCTGATCGATGTTTCTCTCTCATCAATGTTTCTAACTCTCTGTCCCTCTCCCTTCCTCTCTGTAAAAAATCAATAAAATATATTTTAAAAAAAATTTCTATATGTGACATGGCACCAGAGTTAAATTAGGGTTTTTCAAAATGCTGACACACCGAGCTCAAAAGGTTCGCCATCACTGATATAGGAATTTAGAACTCCTGGCAACTGTAACACTTCCCCAAGAAATAGCAACGATACACTGCCAGGGCCGCCAAAAGGAAACACAGATATAATCAAAGGCATTACATTGGTAGATCAGGCAGCTAATATAACAACATGGTCTTCCTCAATCACCCTAAAGGCAGCTCTGCCCCCTGACCTCCCTCAGCCACCAGAAGGCCCCTTCTACATCACGAGGAAATCTCTTTGGCCTTAAAGAATGGATTCTCTACAGACGGGCAGGCTGGATATCAAGGGATAATAAACATTTGTTACCTCAAACCTTAAAATGCTCCATGATGGCACTCACATAAGGAGAGGTGTTCTTGCTATCCTTGTCTCCCAGCTGGTTATGATATGAGAGCGTTACAAAGCAGTACAGGATGTGACCCAAGGATGTACTTTGCTCCAAAATAAACTCGAGTTGCCTTCCTCCTCCTCCCCTCCTGGCACCAATACAAACCAGGGTACATACTCTGGGAAAGGGTGGCAAATCAATTGCACTCAGATGCCTCCTAAAGCTAGATGTAAATATTTGCTAGTATTTGTCAACACTTTTACTGGGTCGATTAAAGCCTTTCTACCAGCACACAAAAAGCTACTAAAATAGCCAAGTACTTACTTCGAAAAATCTTACCTAGGTTTGGACTACCAAGAAGCTTCCAGAGTGACAATGGACCCTCTGTAGTAGCCAAATTACATAACAGCTAGCTCAAGCGTACGAATCAACTATCGCTTATACTCATCATGGAGACCTCAATCCTCAAATAAGGTAGAAAAAAGCTGATCAAACCCTAAAAAGGACTCTAGCCAAGCTATGCCAAGAAACGTGAACTCCTAAAGAAAAATGGCAAGCTAGCCCTTTTGCACTCACCTGTGGCAGAGGCCTTTCTCAGGTCTTCCAGCTGGTGTCTTACACCATTCATCTAGGACAGATAAGTTCAACCGGGGGACAAGGTCTAGTTAAAAACCGGGAGGGACGACTGTCCTAAGTCCCAGCTACAGCCCAGATGGAAGGGCTCACATCAAGTCCGACTGAGCACCCCAACTGCAGCAAATCTCCCAGGGACATAGCCAGTTCCGTTCACAGATCTCAAATTAAACATGCTTCCGGTGAGTCCCCACAGAAACCACAACCTCAGACCTACTCTTGTTTTGTTTTGTTTTGTGTGTGTGTTTTTTTTTCTGAGACCTACTCTTATGAACCCATCGGGGACCTCAAACTCCTTTTCAAGAAACAAGAACCTGTTACAAATAAGTCATGTAATGGCTGGGCCTTAGTGTAATTGTCTTCCTCATATTTCTAACACTCGTTCTCCCAGCCTGTCGGTACGCCCAGCCTCCATCCCCCAGGAAGAGGACTTGGGACTTTATTTGATAAGGATTAAATCCAATAAGGAACTGTCCTTGTTGGATTTAATCCTTATCAAATAAAGTCCCAAGTCCTCCACTCCACTCAAATTATTCACATTTTAACCAACAATATTTATCCTTCTTGTTTTCATATCCCTACCCTACTCAAGACCCCTATGAAAAGAATGGAAGAGTAATACACTACTAAACGTTCCCAATATCGTTGCTGATGGAAATGAACTTTCTGATTGCTGGATCTGCCATAAACAGCCGACCACAGGAACCCTCCCTCCTTATTTTTCAATCTACAGCCCTCAAGTTAAATCTAACTCTACTAGCAGGGTCCCAAAATAATTTTGAAAAAGCTAGTACTTTTTTAGTAAGCTTCCTTTCCGTTTCTAGCAACTTTTCTTGCACCAACCTCATCCTATTTGTTAATCAGACTAATAACTGGTCAGTTTTGAGGCTCTTATGCAAGACCCTTACAGAACTCTGCTGTCATTATATTACATCCAACAAATATATCAATAAACTTGAACAAAATAATTCTGTCCTATCTCTGATATATCCAAACACTTCTTCTAACAATGTTTCCTGTACCCCCAATCTGACACACTGGTGTCCACTAAGCTACAGGGTCCAATCAGATGTCTAGGAAACTAATTCTCAAAATAACCACCCAGAACATTTGCAGTTATTGACAAGGAGAAACTAATGTTAACTGGAAACTTGTTTATCAAGTCCCCACAGCACATAAAGCCCCCACAAGGCCAAGGGACCTCCTTGTAAAAGGAGAATCCACTTACCCCTGACTTTAGGGAAGACACCTGCTGAGGTCCAAGTTTTCTTTCTTTAAAAAAAATATATATTTGAAGGAGGATCGCATGAGGCCAAAGAAGTAAGGGATTATAAATTTACTAGAGGCCCTGTGCATGAAATTTGTGCATGGGGGTGGGGGAGGAGAGAGTCTCTCAGCCCGGCCTGCATCCTCTCACAATCCGGGACGCTGCATGCACCAATGACCATAGTTTTCATACAGGTGAAAGGCATCTTGCTGCTGTATGGGCAGCTACATTTTTTTGCCCTGATTATAAAAAGTAGTACATAACATGATCCTTCTGAGGCAGTAGTACCATTTTCCCCATCTTATGGGTGGAAAACTGAAGCAGAGAGAAGTTAAGTAATTGGCTGTGTTACACAGTTATAAGTGTCAGAATCAGGGCTAACCACAAAATGTACAAGACAGAGTCCATGCATGTCATCACTGCATCATCCTGTTTTTTTCAGTGTTAGAGTAGGGTAGGGTAAAACCTTACAGGTTTTAATTTTTAAATCTAAGAGATTGTTTCCAATATATAGGGTAGGGTCCCTAGGCCTGGCCATCTATGGGGTGACCAGTGGGCAGGCAATCGTGGGGCCCCTGCTGGCACCCACCTTGGCTGGTGTCCTGGTGCAGCCTTCTGGCCTGCCCCACCCCCCTGATCACCGCCACCAGTCACTTCCCTCTCAGGGGGAAGACACTCAGTGCAGGAGCCTCCCTGGTTGAGCGTCTGCCCCCTGGTGGTCAGTGCATGTCATAGCGACCGGTTGTTCTGCCATTCAGTCGACTTGCATATTAGGGTTTTATTATATAGGATTAGGTCATCTGAATACCAAATGGGCTGAGCCCCAAAATAGCGCCAGCCCCCAAAGACAGGGTGTCAGAGGTTTTTAAAGGACTCTAGGCAGGTTTTTTTTCTGGGCGGAGAATTCTCTGTTCAGGCCTGGATTCTGGGAAACTCTGGAGGGGAGAGATAATAATCTTAGCAAGTGGAATGTGTTCTAAGCAAGTGGAATGTCCATTGTGAAATGGCCTAAAGGTCAGTTCCCAGGGGAGGGGGTATTGGTTCAATTATCTGATGAAACCTAACAATATTTTTATTGATTTCAGAGAGGAAGGGAGAGATAGAAACATCAATGATGAGAGAGCTCATTGATCAGCTGCCTCCTGCATGCCCCACACTGGGGATTGAGCCCGCATCCCTGGCATGTGCCCTGGCCGGGAATTGAATTGTGTCCTCCTGGTTCATAGGTCGGCACTCAACCACTGAGTCATGCTGGCCGGGCTGCAGGTAGTAACTCTGCCACTACTGTGAGGTTCTTAGGCAACATGTCTTTCCCCCACTCCCCACCCCCAGACGTAACACCCTGGTTATTGTACAGTAATTATGGTTT